CTGGGCTTTGGTAGGCACAAGATTTTACCTCTCCCAACATAGGATGGGTTCTGCAGTTCTTTTGGCAAACTGACCAGGAGACTGGTAAACTGGGTGCTCCAGCATTGGGCCAAAAGCCACCTGCTTCCTCCTCAAGGTCCTCCAGGGAAAGGGGAAATGAGAGGTATAAAGGCTCTCCTCTTTTTATTCATATTAATATAAACATCAGAACTTTAATTGCTTAATTTCACTGATATCAAGCACCCACACTAGGCCTTCCCATGTAGAGTAAAAATAAAAGGATGTTTCACATCTCTTTATAAGGATCTTTTTTACTACTTCATGTATTTATATATCAAATAACTTGCTTCCACAGCAGAGGGCAGCTCCCACTACAGACTCTACTAGACCCAGTGTTGTATGGATCAGCTGATAAAGGCACCAAGAAAGATTAAGCTAATTACAGTTTGCAGGTAGGGTGGTAATTGCACTTCTAACTGCCTAAATCAGGCATACAAAAGCATGGCTGCATTTCTATGGAGGCTGACAGGATACTCAGTGCCAGCTGAAAATTCAGCCCTAAATAGTGCTAATGTTCTTATCTAAAAATTACTTTTGTTTGCCTGATGCCTGACCGAGTTACAACTATCTCACTAGATGTTTAATTAGCTGATTTTCACTGTGCTCTTATTTCCATTTTAGCTCCCCTTGCTGATGGGAGAGAGCAGGTTTCTGGCTCTCTGCTTAAAACCAGTCCCAGGGCAAAGACCACAGCACCAGTTTGTCTTCACCTTTCCAATGTCAGTTCCACAGAGCAGGCAGCCAGTGTCTTAAGCTCTCAAGTACATTCTAGCTAGACCCTGTGTTGTCTCTGATGGCTGGCTTTCAGAGGTTGGAAACATTCATCTCACAGTGGAGTTTTCAGTTCTTATTTTTGAAGCAACGACTATTTTTCTGCAAAATACGGGTCAAGCTGTCCCTTTGAATCTACCACAGATTCACAAGCAGGTACTCTCAAGCAGCTGTAATCTTGCCACCTTTTCTCTTTGAACAAAAGCCTATAAAACATTAATCTTAGTCCATAAATTCTTTAAATACTTGCCATGAATGGATGTTTGTGAATTCTAGGTATGCATTTGTGAATGGCCCCGACCAAGCTTTGTGAGAAGTCCACGTGATTCAGATATTAACACAGGGATATGACTTGAGCTCCAGCTGGTGCCCCAGCCTTTCCACAGTCTCTTCACCAACTGCTGGCTTCTTTAACATTTCAGTGGGTTGCTTTTTTTAAATTTATTTTGTTAAGCATACAAACTAATGCTTCTTTGATTACCAAGCTGCTTCAGTGGAAGTTTTAGTCTATGTCCTCCCCTCAGACTACCACCCAACAGTCCTCTTAAACACCTTTTATAGTCTAAGCTTCTGAGCACTATTCTGTGCTTCAAGCAGTAACAAAGGTTGGCAATACAATGCCCAGTGTTCTCAAAATGTTGAAGAGTGTACTTTAATAAACTCCATGGCAACGCACACATCACACACCTACTCAAAGGACTCTTCTCTTGGGAGCACTACTACCCTGAACTTCCAAGATGCACCTCCCAAGAGGGGAAGCAAGCAAGCACGCTGTTAGAAACTGCATTGTCCTGGGAAGTCTGGGTCAGAACAGTGAGACATCTCCACCCAGCAGCCAGCCCTTGCCTTTGAGAGATGTTCTTCATTTGTAAGAGGCACCAGCTTAAAACAGTTAAGAGTAAGGATTCTTGTAGCAAGGAGTAGGGGCCCATTGAACTGGTAGATTTTGTACAGTTTGATTTTTGTACAAGAAGGTTGCATTTTAAACAACTGTCTTTTGACTTCCTCTTCAGAGAACTCCAGTCTTTTGGAATGAAAACAATCCTGCTGTATGCTGACTAACTGTCGAGCACAGTGGTAAGTGAAGGAGAGGTAGGTTGGAAAGAAGTGTCCTTTCTATCCCAAAGCTTATTCCTTAAAGTGTTGTAGAACAGATCCTGTATTTTTACTAATACAGCAACCTCAGTGTAAAGACTTCACAAATTATACTTAATCCAACTAAGCTGTCTGAATTGAAACAATAATTATTCAGGAGACTTGAATTGTCTGCATTATAATTGAAAGGAGGTGTGGCACAAAACTACTGTCACTCAACAAGGCACATATCACAGCAGCTAGATGCTAGAAGTGTTAATCATTTAAAATTCTGATCCTGAGGAGCAGTCTCACCTAAAATTTAAAACACTAACCAAATTACCCCCCAAAATTATGGGGGGAACTACTTGTTCTAATGCTACATGTACATGTAGTACAGAAGGGGGGAAAACCTCTCATTTGAAAATGTTCCTTCTTTTTGCTTGTTTCTGTCACTCTGGAACACCTCAAAATTAAGCAGCTCCAATCCTGTTATGTCACCTATTCAGATTTCTTGTTGCTGTGACTGTTGTAAAACCAATAAGCACTCTCTCCCACTCTGTTAACCAGTCAATAGAAACACTGCACAAACCCCCAGGGAGCCCCACTCAGTACAGCCCCAGTGGATACTGATCAGATTTGTTGCCCACTGGTCAGAGATCAGCCAGTTTCATACTCACTCACTAGCAGCTTCCCCTCTCCTGGCAAACTTCTCCTACACTGTCTTACCAAAATTGGGGCAGATGATTCCTAATTTTCTCTGCAGTATCCAAAAGATCTCTTACACTTCCCTAGGTAATTAGATTGAGAAAAAGTTGTGAAATCAGCAAATCAGTGTTAATTGTTACCTATCAGCTTGTTATTTTAAACCTCAAAATCTCATTGTCTTCATTTTTCTGTCTCACTGAAAAACTTCTGGTCCTCTGACAGTCAGTATCCAAGGAGCAGTTAAGGGCTCCAGCTCAATGCTGAGGCAGTGGAAACTCTCACCAATTTGGGACCAAGTGTGCCTTCAGTTACCTGTGCAGGGTACATCACCTCCAAGTGCAAAGAGCAGAAGACTACATAAAGAACATCATCTCAGTTAGTGATCAGGAGACTGCCATTTCTCTCCAAGTCCAAAAATTATTTTTTTTTGACAGTGCATTTATTTTTTAATAAAAAGAGGCATGTCATGCTGCAACTTAACATAACAGGTTAATATAATAATGCAACCAGAATGCAGGAGAGGGTAAAGTCACCCTGGAGGCAAAGCAGGCAGCAGCTTCCTCATTCTTCTCCTTCAAGTGTTAGCAAGGCTGAGCAGAAGTAAACAACTAGAAAGTCATATGCAACAAATGGAGAGCAGAAGAGCTCAGCACTCTGAACAATCATTTTCTATTCATTTAGCAGCAACAGAGCTGTGCAGTGGTGGTAATGGCAAGATTAGACAGCACAGTAAGCACCAGAGTTTCACTTGGTTTTGCATGGAAGTGAACAAGAGAGAAGCTAAATACAAATAATTTGGGAATTAAAAAAGACCAGAGGAATAATGATAGACTGGTTATTACAAGTTTAGCAAGGCTGAAGATGCTCTTCCAAAATTATCAAGAAAGAAAGCAAAAACTGCTGTCCATTTTTTAGCATAGCATTTATTGAACAGTTTATCTCCTAAAACCACTTTATTATCTAAGTGCCAGTGCACATTTAGCTCAGCTATTTATTTTGAATGGATAAGGACAAAAACCCATGGATACATTTATCCAGGGGAAGAGGTAAGAATGGTGAATATATTAAGGAAAAATTGGTTCTGGAAGATTCAGGCCCACCAAGTTTTAAACTTAATTACAACTAGCTATCTAGCTAATCTGAGTGGAGCTGTAGGCTGGAGCCCAACACAACATTTGATGATAAAAGGCAGAGTGGATTCCCATAAAAGTCTGTTTAGCAAAGCCATAAGCAGTGATATTTTCAACAGTTTATTTACATTGCTTGGATTGGCAAAGAGATATAAAACACAGTAAAGTCTGACACGTTCAGAAGCATCACTAATTACACACAGACATAAGACACTGGTGGATAAAAAGAAATCAGAAGTTGAGAACTGCTAATACAGACAGTTGAACCAGTAATGAAATGCAGAAATATACATATTTAGACAGTTCCTGAGATAGCATTGCATCATACTAACTGCTCAAAGGGGGTGAAAGAAGAACATACAGTTTCAAAGGAAGTCATAAATACATGAAAAAGCCAGGTAAAAGCCTTAGGAATACTCCACTTGAAGTCTGACACATCAACATTTGGCCCTCAAATTATGTCACATCAATAATATCATATATTAAATAATGGTTTGTTAACCAAGTATGTGGAAAGTGTGGGGCTTGGGGGTTTAACAGCCCTACTAATGGCAAATGTAATTAATTTTCCTCAGACTTCCACTTCAAAGAAATTCAAGGAATTCAATTGATCATTTTTGGTGGTCAAAGTTAGTCACAGCCTTTACACTTATTACTCAAATACACCCACATAACACTCCACTGTGTTACAGTGAGGATGCAGTAGCCCATCATCACAGAAACTAAATTCTATTTCTTTACAAACAACTATATTTATAAAACATCCAGAATAAGCAGCTGTACAACAGGTTAACTATCATACTTGAAAGGTCAGTTATTCCAAAATGCATGCCCATTTAAGAAATCAACAATTTAGAGTGCTCTGGCAGTTGATGAAGTCAAGGAAGCATATGAGTTATCCAAACTAGCAGTAAGTTCTGTGAACATCATCTTCATTTCCAAATCTGACAAGCTAGTTTATTGCCTAGAGGGGACGATTTCCATAGAAGAAAATGCTTCTACTATGTTGGGAGAGAAAATAAGCTTGTAGAAGGGAATACTGTGCCTTAAATGAAGACCAAGTTACTTGTTACACTGATTAGCTGATCTGCTTCAAGAGAACTAAAAACCCCTGGTGATTAACTTAGTGTTATCTAACATTTTGCTAATCATTGCTAAGTGCTAATGACTAAGGTACCATTAATGTCAGTAACAGGTCATTCGAACAGCCAGCTGCTTGTCAGTCACTACAACAGAGTATTGTCTTTTAATCCTGCTTCAGATCAAGTGGGTTGTTGATCGACTTAACGTGTGACTCCTTTTTTCAAAGATGGAGGGAAGACTGACCAAGGAAGGAGAAGGAATACCCTGTTGGGGAAGAAAAAAAAAAAAAAAAAAAGAGGTATTTTATAATTTATTAGTTAATGTCAATAGTGCAGTCATCCTTTCTCAGCCTTGGTATATAAGGAATGCAACAGTATGGAAGACATCTAAAGTTGGCAGCTTTTAAAATTAATGATTCAGCATGTCTAGATTCTGAACAAAGTTAAAAAGCATAAACTTTTTCACTAGAACAAATATATTTTTAAAAATGCAGAAGGATTCTCTTTGTTCCTAGCTTTGAGAGATTCAGAATACTAGAATGTTTCTGATCAGCAGCTGTTAACCAAGTATTAGTGTACATCTTGCATCACTTCTGCAATAATAATCTCCCTCCAAAGTCAAAGCAAGATACATTATGATAATGTTAGAGAAACAGAGCTGCCCTCAGATCCTACAAATTTCTGTGTTATTAGCTTTGAATCCCAGAATAGATGCTGAACACAGGCCTTCTTGGTTACAGAAGCACTAGACATCATGATTTGTCAGAGCTTTTTTTAGCTGTGCCTGGATGGGCACAAAGTAGGCAAAAAGCCGACTGGTCTGGTGCTGGGAGCACAGGCTGCTTCTGAGGCTGCAAATTACAGTGAAACCAACACACCAGGATGTAGCACTAAAAGTTAACCTCTTTGGATCAGTAAAAAGAATATCAAGTCTCATCACAGCCAACCTTTCCAGTATATAAAGAGGTCATGGTAGTCAGGCAGCTTGCTTCACCTGCATGCTTCTATAATCTTTTAAATAGGGGTATTCTGAGCAGGTAAGGACATACCACTTCACTATGAAGTCTAATCCCTGTTTATGGCATGTGTTATATTTGCAGTCATGGGCAATATTTGAAAATGAAACCCTAAATTCCTCTTATATAGCAGCTCTTATTACTCTAAAGAATCTTATACAGGATAATTTTCTATTTAGAGATAGGGGAACAAAAACTTAAAACCACAGGTGAAGTTTTAGCTGCTTAAGACTTCCCTGCAACCAATTATAGTACTTGGAACTCTGGTCAGTGAGCCGTGCTGCCACTTGGACAACTGAACAAAAACAAGTAATTAAATTGTATAGAAATTAAGAAAAAAACCACAGAAAAATTCAAGTTAGAAGGATGTGTGAAAGAATTAACTTTGCACCCAGAACCAGAAATAGAACTATAGCACATGTGAGTGCTGACTCCAACCCCGTGCATTGCAATGTGTCAAAGAAAAACCCAACACCATTCAAAGCACTTTATGGAATCCAGGGTCTCACACAGTTATACTGCTCAGAGGAATCAAGACTTTTCTGCTCACTTCACACAAGATGGGCATTAACAGGCAGGACTGGATGTACAGATCTTTTCAGCACCACACTGGTTATTATCTCCAACATCACAACAATTGGTAGTAATATTAGGAATAGGACATGGTCTGTCCAAGGCATGACCATTTAGGCTTTCCAAGTTGGAAGAGGTTTTTTCTTCTATAGCATTTGAAAAATGAATATTGGCAGAGCCAGGACACAGCACAGGTCGAGGCCTGGAATTTTGAGAGTTCCAATCCACAGAATTGGAGCGATGAACATTAACACCATGTTTGGCAGATGCATTTAAGCTGCACGTAGAAGATGAACGAGCAATCTACAATTAGGAAGGAGTTTCAAGAGTTAGTCCAAACAAGAAAAAACTAAACCACCAAGCTTCATTGATATTCTCACTCTATAGTTTTCCTACACCAAACAAACCCCATATAAGCACAAGCCAGGATTTTCTGTAAATAAAACACTATGTCTGAACAACAGCTTTGACTCCCTTCATGGACTCAAGAAAGTTTTCCTGCAGCTACAGTTTTTCTACTCAAGAACTGCACTTGACTGCAGTTCCAAACCTCTTTTTCTCCTCAACCTTATGATTCAACAAAAAGGCTTTATGCGAGTTGAGTAGCATATGGGATTAGTTAAAAAACACATGACATCACACACAAATATGATCTGCTGCCCAACTGCAGCTTACTATTTCAGAGGTCCAAATATTCTGGGAAGAACCTGAATAGGGAAACAGTTTTAAGTTCCTATCATGTCATGAAAAAAAAAAAAAGTATTTTTGTATGGGGTAGGCAAAGAGAGAAAAGTGCTTGACTTGATTTCCACGAGGAATGACACACAGTGCTGTATAAAAGTAAAGAGAATGTATTGGAATTCAAGAACAATTGTTGGAGCAATCATAATTGAAGGAATCTACAGAGAAATGGGCTTTATAGCTACACTATTTTTTTCATTTCCTCTAAAGCAAGGGAGTTTGCTGAGTATTTTTGTATGGGGTAGGCAAAGAGAGAAAAGTGCTTGACTTGATTTCCACGAGGAATGACACACAGTGCTGTATAAAAGTAAAGAGAATGTATTGGAATTCAAGAACAATTGTTGGAGCAATCATAATTGAAGGAATCTACAGAGAAATGGGCTTTATAGCTACACTATTTTTTTCATTTCCTCTAAAGCAAGGGAGTTTGCTGTGATACTTCTTCCCTTATTAATCAGTATTTTCTCATGCCCATCTTATGTGGGAGAGCATGGCAATACCTGTACGCTGTACAATGTAAGGGTCACTTAAATATACTGGTATCTCTATACTGAGGTGCTGACATACCAGGCAGTAGTAGAAAGTTACACAGGAAATCCTGTTCTTGGCCCTCTGTGCTACAAACTACAGACTTCAAAGTAGATGTTTACTCAGCATATAGACTTAAACAGTAGAATAAAAGCAAATACAATAAAAATCCTCCAAATCTAGGCTGCTTTACTAGCCCTACTAGGAAAAAGAGTTTGACCTAATGTAGTAGTAGAGAACTGTAGTAGGTAGCCAGGCATAGCAGAAGACTTGTAGTATGTAGAACAATATATTTACCCAGGTTTTCTTATACATGTGTAAGGAGATAATTCTCTTATATTTCTAAAAGCTCTCAGGCTGCAGCCCCTCTACTTCTGTACCTTTCCTCCTTAGTTTGTTTCACAGGAGTTCTGTCATCTCACTACTTTCACCATACTAGTCCAGGTTGTACACCACTTCTGTACACATGGTCCAAAATCAAAAGCATAAACAGATAAAACGCTGTATTGGAAGTTTCTCACTCTCTCTGAAAAGGATGCATCTCTGGCAAAAGAGGGCTTTTTTCCCAACTTAACTGTACAAGGCAACTTCCAGTTTCTAGAACATACAGCTGATTTTTCTGCATTCTCAGCAAGTAAGCCTTCTCATTAAACTCTTGCTCAGAAAATAACACATCCATGAATGCAGTTAAAAATACATTTTTCCACTGTGGATTTTGAAATTGTTAAAGCAAGATCAGCACCAGACATTAAATTAACTGTGATCTTAAGAAGGTTCCTTATTTGGTCTGCAGAGCCAGATGACTTACCGCTAATGAGGACGTGCTAGGCAGCCGGCTGCCCATGTAACCCTCCTTAGCTGAGCTGGGACTTCTTCCTTCTGTTGCACTGTGTGACATTAAAGCCCTTCGAAGAGCTCTCTTTGGTGTTTTTGAGAAGGAAAATGCTCTTGTGACCTGAGAAGTTTGACAAGCAGTTATACATTCACCAAAAAAATCAGGTTGTAAGCAGTACAATACAGGCTACCATTCAAACGCTGGACACCTGTAGGATGTGTGCCAAGTGTTAATACAGCTCTGTCAAAACTAGCCAAACACACCCACCCACAGGGTGATCTGATTCTTAAGGTTTCCCAACACTCCTGCTCTCATCAGGCCAAGTATGAAAACAGCAAGACAGGCAAGGTGGGAGAAGGAAGGCAGAGATGTAGCAAGGTCTAGTCAGTCAACTAAGCTTCCCCACATCCCTTGGGTTCTGCAAAGTCAGGTGCCTTGCCTTTAGGTTGCTGTCAATTTAGTCTTCAGCAGATTCCAAACTACAGCAGCCTCTACAGTTTTCTCCAAGAAACCGTGTTATTGTGAACATACTGAGCCTGCTGCAAGGCTGTGAGAACGGGGAAGATTCCTCCTTGCTCCTTTCCTCCATGCCACAAACTTTGCCAGACCCAAACCCAGAGCACAGCCCCCAGGACAGAGCAGACAGGCAGCCACCCTCCTGCCTCCCAGCCAGCTCCTCCAGGCAGGAGAGAGCACAGCTCCTTAGTCAGACAGTCAAGAGCAGCTAAGCCATGCACAAAGGAAACCATATACAGGCAGACACCAGCATTCAGCACCTACTTCCTTGCTATTTCAAAGTCTATTTGATTACCAGGACACATTCTACACCCATCCTACTTTTGAACGTACTTTACATAACTGCATGCAGCTTTAAAACTCCATTCAATGTGCTAAAAACAGTTAGAGATGAGGGTTGGTGTTGTTTGGGGTTTTTTGTAATATATTTAAAAGACTCCAAACATAAAGTAGACTAAGGTCCATAACAGACTCAAAAATGATTACATAATATTTATGGTCATAATACTTAAGACTATATACAGATATTCCACAACTACTCAGTCAAAACCTCGAATACTCCCCATCTTCCTTTAAGGAGCTTATACTTACAAGTTCCAGTCCAGATTAAGTTTTTCCTGTCACTCCTAGAGTGCTACCCAAAGCAAGAATACTTGCACAATCCCATGACTTAAGTGGGGTTTACTGTAAGTACTACCTTCATAGTATCTTACCTTTTTTGATGTTTTCTTTATTGCCCTGGATGCTCTGCTTAAAGTACTGTCCATATCTTTAGTGTTTACTTCAACAGAATCAGGATCAGCAGTATAAATGAGATTTTCCTGTAGACAAAAATAGTCTTAATAATGGTCAAACATCAACACTTGTTAAAATATCACTCATTCATTAGGTCAGATTTAGAGGTTTTAATTGCCATATTCCTCCATTTTTAACTCTTAATATACAATCAGGAAGCTATTTGCTTTCATGCCATTTCATTAAATTAACTGCTGGTACAATCACGTTATGAAACCACTTCATCACTAGTTTTACATTTAGTATGTCTGATTTAGTTTCAAGTTCAGGGCTGACCAAAGGAAGGGCAGCAGTTCTGCAGTACACCCAGAAAGTTTCACAACATCTATACCCCCTTGTTTTACTGACACATTTAGCACTCTTTCAAAGTGAAATCATGAAAGTCTTAATGTTTGACAGCTGGGGCTAAGACTTTAGGCCAAACAGATGTTTCAGAATAGCCACAAGTTTGGGGTTTTTTCCATGCCTCATTCTTCAGGTCTATCATGTGCAATCTCTGGGTAGCTACTTACAAACCTTGGCAGGGGGCATGCATGGGAGTGGGAAGTTGCTGGGTTTGTTTGTTTTGGTTTTGTTGCTTTAGGTTTTTATTTTGAGAACAAGAGTTTACCTACAAAAATTCAAAAAACATAAAACACCAGCCAGCCAGCTGTATTCTTAGTGTCTAACAAAGAGTAAAGTCTTTACTGCCACCACGTGGCAATGTTTAGGCTCAGTCTCACATGACAGTTCAAAATGAGGGAAAGTGTGCTTAAACTGAAGCTAAATTTGATATTTAAATCAGCAAGGTATTATAGCTGGCACAAAGCAGTAGTTACAGAAGTTTCACCTAGTGGAACTCAGCGTAGTAGGTTATAGTTTGTCAGCATGTGATTCCAAAGGTCCTGGGACAAGAGGGAATAATAAATTTTTTACGTATTTAGTTTCTGTTGAACACCCCAACATTTTTGCATCCCTTTGTGTTTTATGCAACACAAGAGACTGAAGAGAGGTGATAGATTTAAGTAACACTTCTGAATCAGTACTTTTCCTACTCAGTATCTAAAAAGGAAAAACACAAAGCAATGTCTCTTACTGGTAAATCCCTTGATATCACGACAAACAAAATAAAACTAAGATGCTATTTTGTTTACTTAACTACCTTTCCAGAAACAAGCATGTCTTTAAAAATCACAGACATCTAAATATTGTACATCAGAGTACAATGCAGAATAACACCTTCCTAGCTTAAGCCCAGGTTGTTTCAGCTATATGTACTGCACATATTTTCAGCAAATTTGGATGACTGATACACCTACAGTCTTACATAATTAAAAAATCAGCTGAAAGTCTCTTGTCCTATTTGGAGAGGACCTACTCTTCAAGTTAGTAGCTTTGACTGTGGAAAGCCCACACATTGAACTTTAAAAAACATGAGGAAGCCAGTGCATCTTTTATTTCATGGTTTTCTTTATTTCTTCTTGTTTTAAGGTTGCAGCTTCTGTCAACAGGAGGACGTTATTTTATGTCTGTTACATTTTGGTGCCTGTGCATATGTGCAGAACAAAGAATTCAACCCAACACAAGTTAAAGCAAAACATATGATTCATAATACTGGGATTACAAACTGAAAAATAACTGCAAGAAGCAAGCTGAAGACAATTCTGTTTAGATCTGCAGTGCAGAGTTTTAATTATTTATTATTAATTTGTGACGGGGAAGGGCATGATTCTTGATTTTTAAGTACTACTTAGCTTGGGTAGAAGCTAACTTCCAGGCTGTTTCCTTTTCCACCTTTCAACCACTCACTTGCAGGCATGCTAGTACAAATGGTTTCTGCTCTACTTCTCCTTAAGCATGTCCATTATTAAGAAGCTCTTTAGCTTCACGTGCTTCAAGCCAAAAAGTGAGAAATATTTCCAAGCAACAATATGGTTCCATGGTACTTACTGCATCTGCTTTACAAATAGTGTTAGCCACCTGCCGACACAACATCTTCAACCAGTCTTCTTTAGGAGGTTCTTCAGTTGTCATCTGGAAACTGAGCAGCTTGTTGTTGAGTTCTGTAGGTGGCCGCACAACTAAGGCAAAAGCTTTATGGCAATCTACAGTTCATAAAAAAAGGGCATGGAATTAAGACAAAGAATAATATTTTTTTCATATAATTCAGGGAAGAACCTTCAAAAGAGTTAACACTCCCTCTGCCAGGAACTAGAGTTAGGAACAACATGATTTGTTGCAAGGGTTTTATCTTTACTGACACAATAGCTGTTGCATCACTTGCAAAAGCACAGAGTTCCGTCTGCATCCTTCATCCAGAGGCTGCAATCAGCTGCTCATGCAACAGTTGTTTATTAGTCTTTACTAAATATAGCAGTAATTATCAATATTATTCTTTAACTCATTAATTGTTGGACAGATCACTTCTTTATCAACAGAGAATAAGGAAAAACATTTATTCTATTTTGTAAAGCAAGAAAAAGCAACAAAGACATCAGTGCTATACATGACACATTAAGATAGTCAAGTTACAACAGTTTTACTGTTTAAGCTTCACAAAAATTGCTCACTTGATAGCAGAAAATTAATCCAGTGCTGATACTCTTTTATAGCAGATACAGCTGAAGCATACTAAACACAGTTGAGAGAGAATGAAAGAGAAAAACTACCACCAATTTAGAAAAGCAGCACTGGAAAAGTAGACCTATGGGATAGTGTAGATAAGTCTTCATCCAAGATTTGTGCATTTGTGTACTTAAGTTCTTCACAGATATTAAAAAGATATGCTTACAGAAACTAGTCTGACTAGTCTTCTTTGGAAGTCAACACCAAGGCTGGAATAGTATTGTAGCAGCAGTTCTACTGTAGGGATGAATTACTTCAGTGAAACCCCTAGAGTCTCAGTTTGGCAGAACAGCCACGGAAATTGTCATCTAAATCCTCCTTTTAAGATGTTGAACACAGCTCCTCCTGAGCATCATAATCACCAGTTAAATGAGGATCTGGTTTCGCCACAACAGCATTTGTCCCTGGTCAGTCTAATGCTCTGGACTGAGGTTTGTTTTGTTTTTATATTGTAAATCCTGATCTGTCAGTTGTACTCCTGTTTAACTCACACTGCCATGTGGTTGGCATACCCCAATACCACCCAGTAGTTCTGCCAAATTCAGCAGTGATTCTTGAAAAGCCAGAAGGTGTCAATGCAAGGAACTCTCAAGCTCATACAGAGCTTCAAAGAGAAGCTCATACAAAAGTCACTCACATACCTGGCCTACCATACAACAAATACCTTAGCATTCTATCCCACAACAGCAGACCTTCATCCTTTATAGTCTGAAGCAGAGTTTTCATCTGCTACCACAGCACTTCAAAGCATACACACCTTCTGTCTCCCTGATGTCTAGAACTTTCTTGATCTGGGAGAGAGGCATGAGAACAACATGCTTGAGAGATGCAGGAGGCCTTGTGTGGCCATGAGGACTCTTGAAAGCACCAATAACTTTATGCCGTTTCCTTGCAATCTGAATAGAACACAAAAGAAGTTAAAGTTAAAAGGTCTATTAACATTTGGTTTCTTTTGTTATTCTATTTTTTAGTATACATGAAGGCACAGAAAAATAATCTAAAAAGTATTTTAGTCTGTATATTCTACCACATAAATCTTCAAGGAACTCACTTATATCACTATTCACTGTGCACAGTTCAAGTGGCCCAGAAGTACTTGTTATTTACTATCAATACACTCCCCTAAAAAGTAAAGAAAAACAAGAGGGGAAGTAATTTTGCATTACAGACCTCAATTCTATTGGGCATAACAAGCAAGGGCCTTTTGAAACCTACAACAAGGTAGGGTAGATTTAAACAGGTAAGACAGTGTCAATGTGCATGAACCAAATTAGGCTGTGGTGAGTTATGTCCTAGAACCACCACTTGCTGTTGCTTGTGTGTGCAGCCATCAAGTGGGTTTTGCATTGGAGGTTTGTCTATCAGTTTTTACTTTACATTAACACAGAGGTATCTTACAGGCTAAGTAACCTATTTTCAGTTGGTTTTATCTTGTATAAAAAGCTTTAGTAAGCTTTTTTAGTTTTCTTATGTTGCCAAAAGTGACAAAGCTGAGTCAACTTGACTCCCAGAAAGAGTTCATCACTAGTTACAGCAATAGGCTTTTGTCTCCAAGTGCTGTTTAAGACAGCACTAATTTTGGATTATTTTAGAGTTGGTCTTCTAAGAAGACAATGTTCTTTACTGCTATAGGCAGCAACAAGTACTTTTATAAAGTATGCTTTACAATGTCAGTTTCTCCATGTAAGTCTCCAAAACGCTGCTAAAATTGATTTTCCCTCATAGTTCTTCCTAGCACACAGTTAGTCTAAGGCATTTAATATGGGAATTTTATTATTTTTTTTTGTAGCCTAGGAACAGATAGGTCTACCACAGAGGCCTACTGTTTACTCACATTAAATATGACTAAACTTTGAAAGGGCAAATGTCCTGCTGGTCCAAGGACTCCAGGACCTTTTTATCCACTGGTGCTACTCAAAGTGCTATTCAGGTAAACATTTCTTTCCTCACATACTAAGCTGCTTTTAAATCTTTGACCTGTCTGCAAGACATTAAGGGCCACATTAACACCTCTCAACTATCCAGACTTGACCAACTACTTGTGTTGGCTTATACAATAGCTAATGGAAAGGCAACATCAGCATATGTTGAGCTATCAGCTTTTCATTACTTAGAATTCTGATTAAAAGTTTTATTTATTTATATTCATAAGTCATCTTAAGTCTCTTCTAATTCAGTTCATGAGAAGTTCTATAATGGTCTTACCTCTAGGCAATCATTGACCTGTTCTCCTCTGTCACAAAGGTCGTCACCAAGCGCTACGGTTTCCAAACGTTGAACTAAGCTTCGGTGAGAGGACAAGAGATTGGCCTAAAGGATAGAAGCAGAAAGCTCATTAGGCATTTAGTTCAAGGGCTGAATTACTTCTTGCTTATACCTTAACACTGGAAATCTGTTTAAACCAGAACTCATTTTAACTCACATTTTACAGGTCTGCAGCATCAGAGAAATTACTTACTGGACATCCATCAACTTCATAGACGACATCAAAGAACTGCCTTTGAGCCTCTGTTTTTCTTTTGTCTTCATTAATATGTCTGAGGGAAGCATATTACATTTATCTTCAATATCAAGCAACAGCAAATGAATACATTGCATTTAAGACATACAAAAATAATGAAGTAAACAAAGACAGTTCACACCACAGTACTGGAAGATAAAAAAAAATAATCAACCACACTTGCTCACTGAAGTATCCAAATACCATATACCCTAATCCCGTAGAAAACTTCAGATCTAGAACATCTTAGCAGTAGTTCACACACCATTCAGTTAATACATTATTCCCCTACCCTGTAAGATGTTGAACTAGAGACCAAGCCAACACAGCTCTTTACAGCCTGCATTTTATCCTCCCAAGTCAGGACTGCAGCTCACCAAGAAGCAAATACAAGAATAATTACAACTTAGAAGTAGATGTTGATGTTAAAATCAGACAAACATTTACCCAATTAATACTGGAGGTCTCATTGCTGGAACCATATGCTACACTTCAAGAGAGGTGAGACTTAAAATCTAAACAGCTTCAGCTTTAAGCTAATTAACTCATGGAATGGTGCCAAGAATATCTAATACAGCACCAGAAAAGAAACTAATCTTCTACCAATAGCTTGTCCTTTCAGTGGATACATGCACAAAAGTAAGATTTAAAGACAAAACATGTATCTTCCATTCCAGAGGGAGTGGATTGATGTAAGTTTTGGAACAGAAGTCTCCGGAGGTCCAGCTTCCTGCTGAGGCAGGGAGCCAGCAAAGGCTCAGGTAGAAATGCTAGGCAGAGACACTGCAGACTCCTTCAAGAGGAGGCACAGAATGCCAAAGGGACAACAGTAACAAAAGGGAGACTGATGAGCACACATTTATGTATACCTACACAGAGACCAAAGTTATGGCAACAGCACACTAAGTAAGAGCAATTTAGAAGGAAGAGAGAGATCTAAAGGTTTCATAGAATAAGCATCACTTACGTCATCACTTCCTTTAATGATTCAATAGCTCTCTCTAGAGTTACTTTATCAGGGTTCTCTTCTGCCGTATGTTTCTTAATATCTACAATTTAAAAAACCCAATCAACACAAAAACCACACATATTAAGAGGGCCTGAAAAGAAATACCAAAGATACTTAAACTACTTAAAATATTTAAACCTTAAGCCAGATAAGATGACTGAATAAATTGTGGCTGTCCTGGCATCCAAACAGCCTTGATTAAGTGGGGAAAAGGTAGGCTGAGCATGCACCTTCTTAAGAAAAAATAATACATCTACAATACAAAATCAAACCCTCAAACTATTTTAAAACCAACAAGACCACATGCTGCTTTTGTTGAAGTGCAGAGACAAGCACAGAAGTTCAGCTGAAGCAAAGGGTGGTGGAATTTTTTTAATTAGTATTTTTATTAACCTAATGATTATTACATCAAGTGATTGATACCAGGAGAAACATATGAAACTAAGCCTTGTGAACACAAATTGCTCCCTAGTTTATGGTGGCTGTATTTGAATCTTAATTATATTTGTATTTGAAGAGACAAAACTGCTGTCAGAGCAAATTTTTCCTCCACTTCTATCCTGCAGACAAATATATGGACAAATGAAATTTAGCTGAAAGTATGCTTTCTGCAGCAACTGGTCTTGCTGACTGCCATTAAGCATGATTAACTCCCTAAATCAGGCTTGGCTTAGATGAGAAAAGCTGCTTCTAATTATGACAAAAGCAGACATTATCTTGGTTTTAACACCTTCAACAGACTAATTAAACAATACATCTGTAGATTACCATTTAGTAGCAGAGCAACACTAGGCAGCCTTTGAACAGGACGGATAAGGAGTTCAGCTAAGCTTTGGCGGCCACATTCAGGCTTTGCTTGGTTTATCTGGGGAAAAGAGTAGAAAGGAAAGAATTCTTATTTTTCCACACACACCCACCCCCCAAAAAAATAATCACAAACAAGGAGAAAAAACTGTCTTCCTTGAAACTAGCACTGCAGCAAGTTTGAGAATCATTTTTCACAGAAACTCAGTCATTAACAGATTGTTACAAAACACATTCAAACCCATGCAGTGTTTATCACAAGGCTTGTGTTCTCATAATGTCTAGTTTTAAACTGTGTCCTCAGTCCTTGTTCCAGCTGCTAATACTAATGTGGAGTGGGACAGGGGACAAACTGTTCTCTTATTTCCAAATACTTTTAGATATCTATACTTTCACATAATTCCTGGTACCTCAGAAAATAGGAGTCAAACTCTGTCGGTTTGATCACTCCACTATTTGAGACACACTTGTTGGTTATTGAAGTTAAAGCTACACTGCACTGTTAATCAGTTATATACCTTTACCTGAAGAGCTCAAGAGTCTTACGACTTATATTCAAGATAACTCTTTCTTTGAAGATCATCTTCCTGTTAGATCTCCACTGTTATGCTCCTATTCATTAGTGACAAAAATGCTGAGACATTCTACCTCCCTGGAACTTCACATCTGCCAAAAGTGAGTTAAAAGCTATTTCAGAAATACAAGCCTTTTAAACACAGGGAGGGAGGACCAATAAAAAGAAACCCCTCTAGTTATCTTTACAGATAAGAGAAGACATTTGGGAGAAAATAATCAGAATGCACTTTTTTCCAGCAACAAACTCATATAAACAAACTACCTTGAAAACTATAACAAAGAAGGAACTTGAACCTCTAAGAGTCTTACGAGGAGCTTGAGGGATTGAAGTCAAATCCTTCCTATTTCTGTCTCACCAAGATACATACACATTCCTCCAAGCTTTCAAAATTCAGTAATAGTCTCCATGTTCTTCTCCAAAGACTTACTCTTGCAGACACTCACCTTTAGGAAAGCATGAAACCTTGGCTTTTGTTTTTCACATCTAGTAATAGTCTCCTTGCTCATTTCGAAGAAATTCACAAATGGAGGGTATGTTTTCAGCAAGTCTTTTGACTGAAAGAAACAACTATTAGGACTCTGCTTTCAATGTTATTATGCAGCACTGTAGAGATGTTCATATGCCCTGAGCCATAAAAAACTGCTCAAAGGCACGTTATAATGAAGAATAAAAAATGTGTTGTAAACCCATGCATGGTCACAGAACAAGTTAAGACATTTTTGCATGCCAAATGGCCAAGTTTCAGTGCTGCGGATCAAATGCAGACTGCTCTCAAAAGCATCATCAAGTACACATGTGACAGTCTTAGAAACTGCTGAGCTGCTCAAGTAGAAGGCAGGTTCTCAACCACCAAGATGCTTTTGGTGAACATTTTGGCAACTTCAGACAGGTACTTTCTCCAGTTACTGTAATCACCTTTAAAAGACATTAAACCACTAGAAACAATACCTTACACTGAAAACTTTTGAATGCCAAACAGTTTGCCTCAAAGTGATCAGGTCAGCAAAAGCACAAGATACCTGGCAGACTACTTAGGTTGAAATGCATTGCAGTCCCCAACCTACCTTTCCTGTTCTGCACACTCTGTACTTGAGAAAACAAGGAATCATTATTCACCTACACATTTCAGTTCTTGAAGGAAGAACACAAGAAGTTTCTAAGAACAGTTATTTTCCTAGTTATTTCCTATAAATCTGAGGCAGGAAGTGGCCATGGTTACAGAAAAAGCCCTTATTAAAATCTGAGTAAAAAGTACATCTGTAGTGTTGCAAATTACAATCCTCAAGCCATATCTATTTGGAATTTTATCCCCTCGTTCAGGTGTATCATCCAACTCAACTGAAAAGTCTAAACAGGAAATGTAAAGATGCAAGTTAGTGTTCTTTCTCAATCAGTACTACTTGTGTTTACTTGCTCCCACAAATGGATTATTTGTAAGATAAGAGAGTAACTCAAATGCATAAAAAGAAGGAACAGAAACTTACATATTTAAGAATGATATCACCAATACTTCTGCTTTCAGTCCAATTCACCATAAGATCTTCCAGGTCTTCCTAGAGTACATGCAGGGATGGAGAGGAGGAGAAAGTAAGATGAGAATGAACGGCATAAACATGTAAGATTGGATCAGTACTTTACCAAACACATATAATTAGCTATGTGTTTGATACTGACAAAACAGGCAATCCTAAAAGCAAGAGACCCCTGCCTTCCTGATTATCTAGTTTTGAACCAATGCAAGCAGCACCTAGCAGTGCATCAGCACTAGCCAACTGCAACAAAGTGTCCAACACATTACAGAACATATCCTAAGTGATTATTAAAAGGAATACACAGAACACAGTTGAAGCAATTCTAATTGAGAGTGCACAACTAGCATAGGACTTTTAAGGACTTCAGACAGGACTAAAATAGAACTAGCATAGATTTCCTTCACTTGCTGCACCAGGGTGTCAAGGAAAGTGAGACCAAGCTGTTAAGCCTGTATTTGCTTGATAAGGATCAAGCTTATTCACTGTTAGCTAATAACAGGGACAGGAGATCACAGCTGAAGATTCAGGGGTCATTTGAAGTAGAAAGGGTTCACCATTAATATTGGTTTTTTGCCACTTCTCTTATCTTTATTACACCAAAGGTGAAGGAAAACACAACCACCACATCTAAGCTACTTTGTGTACACTGCATGCTGTGAGTGAATCCTGCTTGACACACAAGATACAGATGCTCTGGTTTCATCTCTGTCTCAGTGTGCATAAATTAATACCTAACATGATTAACTAGATTGGATCCCAATAGTCATCACCCAAAACCCAAACCACTGGGTTTACAGTCAGTCCTGATATTTTATAAAGCCTACTGTGAAATGCAGACAGGAACAAACATATGCCATTATCTGAAGGAGATTTTATGACTTTGTATTTGAGCAAGACTTGCATCATAGTCTATCTTGAGACCCAAAGATTGCTTTGGCAGGCACTTGCACTCCAGATCAAAAACATATGAGAAAGCCTCAAGAAAACAAGGCAATAGGATTCCATTCAGGCCTCATGCCGGGTCAACTGTTTCAGAGGTTGAACTGTGAGCCAGTTTTATGAGTTGGTGTTTCTGACAATTGGTTCAAAGCCATTTAAGGAGAGATCATACATGAACATGTCTAAAGCCCAGGAAAATGCTTTTTTTAAATTATGGTTTGGTTTGATTTTGTTTGAATAGCATAGCTTTAGGTTTCCTTCCAAGAGTCCTTGCTAACTGCTTTAATAGAAACATACACATCAGAAGCACTTGTGATACCATTTGATACCACTGGCCTTATTGATCAGTTTTGTATCCGTTACAGAAAACCTCCTACAGGAAGAGGTATTAAAATGGGAAAAGGACAAGCTAGCTCATGAATGGCAATAATAGTTACATCTACAATAATCAGACTCCAGGTATTTATTAATAAGTATTAGATCTTAAAGCATTTGCACCTAATTCCACTTGTTGAACAGTATGGAAGATCACCAGGATCAATCTACACACACACAGCAGATACAACTTAAGCCATGCAGAAAAGGTTCAAAGTCTCTATCAAAGCTCCCCCTGTCACAGAGAAGTTGCAGCTCACCTTGATTTTAGTGTGCACATCAAGAATATCTGGAATGCTGCCAAATATGGTCTTAATTTCTTCCTGTGCAAGAATTGGACCTCCAAGTTGTCCTTCCTTCTCCAATGGAACTTGAAATAACTGAAGCAGACAAAAACAGTTAATGCCCTCTCAACCTCCACATATTGTGTTAGAAACAGTTATGAAAGCAACAGTGTTTTCCTTCCAGCAGCCACAATCACAAGACTTTGTTCCCATTTAGCAAGACTGGGCTATGGAGGAGTGCTTCAAAGGTACAAACCCTCAGTTTGAAACATTACTACAGCATAACCCCTTTCATCTGCTTTTCTACTCACACACATCTTAGCCCCATACGTAGATAATCAGCTGCAACAGAAACAAACTTTCTGGAAACTAAGCACTTCAGTAAGCCATTTGCTATTCTGCTCTTGGAACTATAAAAAACGTTTTCCCCTGCCATCTCTCTCTAATCACTAATATCTTAAAAACCTGAGTCATTCAGAGAGTACTTTCCTGAAGCTTAGGATTTCCATACAAATTGCAATTCCACTGCAGGTCACTAATTAGAAAATGCACTTTCCAGTTTTTGTTAGAAGACACTAAGCATATTTATGTGTCAGTAAAATGACAGGAGACTGTTTACATTGTCACCTTTTTGTGAACCTTTGAGGTACACAAGACTTCAAGACTGCAGATCAGAGGCTGAACATAATTGATGTAAACACTAGTTATCTTATTACAATTGACCTCTACTTCCTTTAAAACCATCTTACCTGAATGATTGTTGTTAGTATGTCAACGTAGTTACTTTCTGTCTGATACAATTCCTTTGCAACCTGCCATCTTGCAGACTGCTTTAGTGGAAGAGGAGTTGAGTTTTTGGAAGGCCTCGCACAGGATTTTGGGGTTTCTGAAGAAATAGCCCCAAAAGAAAACAGAGCTTTATTACAACAGAGTCCCTAAAAAAAGCTCACCCTCGAAGACAGGAAAAAAAAAAACAACACACCTTCAGAATTTTTAAGGGAAGAGAGCTTTTTTTTTTCCCCAAAAAAAAAAAAACAACCAACCAGCTATTCTGTAGGTTATTCCCTAGTTATCAGAGCTCTTTCAAGAAAATAGCTTTCTTTGGTACAGCCTAATTATAGAACTGCTGTAACATACTATTCCTCAAAATTACTCTGACAGCAGTAAGCCATTTATGGGCAGATCACAGACTGGTCTGGGTTGGAAGGGACCTTAAAGATCATCTAGTTACAACCCCCCTCCATTAGCAGGGACACTTTCCACTACATCAGGTTGCTCAGAGCCCCATTCAATCTGCCCTTGAATACTTCAAGGGATGAGGTTTTCACAACTTCTCTGGGCAACCTGTTAGATCAATGACTTAAACCTATTATGCTTAGTAAGAAGTGAGGATTAGGTGCTCAGCCTTATTTATATATACCTTATGTACAAGAACACTTTTTCTACTTTCACTTGCCACGTAAAGTTATCTTTCACCTGCCTACCATCCTTCCATTACATATATAGCTCAAAATTAATGAAGTCTGTAGCAAAACCTGTTAAGACCACCCTATCCCAGTTTTTGAAAGTTCCACCACCCATTGCCTTCAGGGTAGCCTTCAACAAACCATTGTACCTTTCAACTTTCCCTGAGGCTTGTGCATAGTATGGGATATACTTGCATGCAGAGATCTCTTAAAACATTGCAAGTGTGTCTGAATGAAGGTTTTTAGCTATACCTCCATTGTTAATGCTCGACTCTGGAGTATTAGAAATATCCAGCAGGGAGCCAATGGAAAGGGAATGTTCAGCTGAGGGCCGTTTCCGAGGAGGGAATGGTGATATGTCTGCTTCTCTGGTCAGTTGTGCCAGGGTCTCTTTCAAACGACGTCTTTTGCGATTGCTGTTTGGAGTGTTGAGAGAAAGCAGTGACACAGACTTCTTGAGGCCAGGACTCTCCGACTGTAGTCAAAAGAAGTTCAGTTTAGTGTTTTTACCCACTGTGTCCAGTTCAAATGAATGCAAAGTTAATTGTAGAAGTAAATCAGAACACGACTCTTCTTAAGGAAGCCAAGGAAAACTGAACTGGAAACCACACTAACATTTTCTTTGACAAAGTTCAACCTTTGGGAAGTAGAAAAAAACTTTCCCAAATCAGTATTCTATATATGAAATTTATAATGGATTTAAATGTTTAATGTTGCTTTAAAGACACATACTAAAGGCACATGATAATTCTACCACCAAATATATGCCTCACATTATGTAAGAGTTCATCATACCTTCTCAAATAAATACATGGACTCTCCAGCTCTGGCATCCATTTGAATGCTTCCCCAGAACCACTAAAGGAAAAAGAAAACACGCATGAAGAACACATGGAAGGGCTTCACCCCAAGTTAAAAATATCCAAAATAATATACGTAACAGTAAGGCAGTTCACATACTAAATGCAAACACGTGGCTTATTCTGAAAAAAATGTTTCTCACATGCCAAGGATAATATGGCATTATTCTTTCAAGAATTTGTCAGCACTAACCTCTTGCTTTACAACATAAAGTTTTTTTAAAGGTTCAAATGGAAGATCTTTTACTGTGCTTTCTTCAACCACTAAGTGCGTACACCTTTCATCACCAACGGGTAAATAATGTCCTCCTAGATAAAAAAAGGCAAGTTAGCAAGACCAAAGAATATTCTTGTTAGACATTAGTAGCCCACTTTATAGTTCTGTGACACTTATTATTAGCCAAAAAGAGATTAACTCTTCAGGAGCTAAGCACTGGTTGGGCTTGGATTATATCAGCAGTGGCCAGCTTTTTAGGAAACAGTATGTAGCATGAGGTAGTAAAGTACACATTGAGAAGTCAAGAGCACAAGGAGCTCAGAGGACATTTTAACCTGTCTGACACTAAAAGCTTCCCAGAAGAATATTGCATTTCTTATTTCTTGGATTATCAAGCTAGCAATTGTCACCTCAAAGATATCCACAAGCTAAAACCTGTGTCACAATCTTGCAAGTAGCTTTAGATAAACTTTCCATTCCCCATTCTATAGTCTCTTAAATACAACTCCATCAATAAAAGGCTGGAGACTTGTGATCTGTTACAGCATCACTGTCAATGCGATTGTACTACACTCGCAAAAAATTGAACACTTCCAATCTAGTGTTTTACCAATGATGATTCATATCAACATTGTAAACATTGTAGATGCTTTCTGTAAATTACATAAAGATGCACACCACAAAACCGAGTACAAAAACCGAAGCAGAAAATATACATTAAGTAGGAAGATTTCCAGGATATCTTCAAGCATCCTTTAATTTTTTCTTTTTGTCTAGCTTAAATCAGCCTAGAAAGTTTGAAGTCTTCAACAGCTACCAGACCTATGCATATTGACATATAAAAATCAATTTCCAGCTCTTCAAGCTGAAGAGTCTTCATCAATACTTCAGGATTCACAATCCAGCATTTCAGCTTCAGTGAAGTATTTGTCAACTATAAACCTCCTTCTTTCCACAAGTCAACTTTCATAAACAATAACCTTGCATTTCTGTCATTTCTTCCATGTTAGCTTTCTCATCATCAGAGAATCCAAGGAAACTTAACATGCAATCCTGGAAAGGAGGAACCTTGAACTGATTCCTAAAGTCATCATCAGCTGCACAGAAATCACTGGGAAAAAAAATGAGAGATGAACAAAAAGGTCACTATTTAAACAGAAACTCACAACACTCCGGGTGAACAGAAGGCAAGATGAAGGTTGAAGGAAAATAAAACCTACATTTCATTTCTCTTCTCCCAAGCCTTATAAATCCACTCAGCTTTCACTATAGGAGTACCAAGACTTACAGCAACCTGCAAAACAGGAAAAGCCCGTTTTGAACCAAGTATTTCCTTTTAAGTCTTTCCAATGGTAAAAGTACATAACCTTGCTTTTACTTTTCCAGAGATACCGCAAAAAGTAAACATATTCCTTCAAGAATTATGTCCAAGTGTAACTCCCAAGAGTTAGAAGGTATTCATTCTTCAGTGACCAAGAGATCAGATCAATAGGTATTCTGATGCTTACTCAAAAGTGCACCATTGTTAGTCTGATTTCCTCCATCACTCACAAAACCAAGACTCTGTTCCAGAGGAATATGGGATCTTTTTTCTGCTTTTCATACTTAGCATGAAGGCAAATATCCCAGCTTGCTTTTACCAAAGAGAAAGTGACTATTCCAAAGGTAACTTCCATAACTGTTTGAGAGAGATTGTGAAGTTTTCCTACTGTTTCCCTTTGAGTTGACAGAAAGGAGTGTTTGATCAGAGTTAGAAAGGAGATCTTCTCTTCCAACTGGAAGAGGAGACAGACTAGGGAAAAAAGCAACAGCCTACTAACAATTCAAAAAAGGGAGAGTCAAGGGATTCTCATAGGATTGCTATGTTATATCCCATGGTACAAAAACATAGGAACTTGTATTTACTTGTCAACTGGACATACAAATTCTGAAGGATTCTCCATTGGTGTTATCAAAAGAAAAAAGAAGAAAACACAGCAATATTTGAACACCTATACATAACAAGTTCAAACTAATTTTTAAAAGATAATGCATACAAATTGAGTACCAAAGGTTTTTGCAAGTTACCTCAAAGTCTAGTGTTTGGACAAACAAATAATGCAGGCGTGTTAGTATATAAACACTTGTTCATTCATGAAAAAAATGTTCAGTGTCTTAGCTACTGACAACATCAGTACTTTACAAATATTTTGGTTCTTGTTATTTACTATAGTTGTCTATTTAAAAAAACTCTGCTTTCAGGCAATTTACATTATTTAGATCTCTAACAGCAACAAAAATATGCCAAAGCTCAACAGTAGATAGAAATGAACTCACCATTACAAGTTATTGTTGTTAGTACAGAGAAAAAAAAAAAGTAATTTATAAGCTGAAGTATAATTTACAGACTTAGTCTACAAGAACCAAATTCTGCAAGTTTCCATGAAGTACCAACTCAAGCTTACATACTCTGAATTTGTCTCCATGTGTTGAGTTAGCCACCAGGTGTGTAACTTTGGAGCTGAAGTCCCTTCGAATAATTCCACCCATATGATGAACCAAGGTCACTAGCTTAACCTGCAAAATGAAGACAAAGTAAGTTTTCAGCATATCTTTTGAAGCGTAGAACACAGAGTGAGAGCAGTACAAAAACAGGTTACAAAGCAAGATACAGAGGGTGACACTAAATGTCTAGGAATAGAAATGGTTTGTTTTGTTCTTAAAATAACTTGTTCACACCTACAGGAGAAGATAGAGATGATACATCAGAAGAGCTATTAACTTTTTTTTGACATTTCATACAGCCTTGCCGTGTAGCTTGAGGCAGACCACTCAAGCCATCAACACTCCTGTGCTCATCGTACATAATGGCTTTTCACACACAACAGATTCAAAGCATGTTTTCCTCACTAACAGTCAATTCTACCCAAAGGGGCAGTTATCAGAATTTACAGAACATTGCAGTTTGGCCAGTTTGAAACTAGCAGATCAAACCTAACTATCCCTAACACTGGGATAGTTAGCACTGTTTTGTTGGTTGTGTTCATTTGTTTTTTTCATATGAAGATGTGGAACCGTATTTTGATTCCCAGGTGTCCAACAGGGAACTTCAGTGCCAACTGCATCACTGACATGGAAAAGTGCTAGGTAGATATCAAACCACTTCATACCAAGGCACATCAAGACTAAAGTCCTGATAGCAAGATAGCAAGGCAGCAAGACAGCACATCTGCAAATGCTCTGATAAAGACTATAAAGCTTTACTTGAGCACACGACTCTGTGCAAATAAGAGGACACCATTGGGTAATTACCATCTTACCTGAAGCCTAAGTCTACAAATCTTTATGCCTTATGGTATTACAGCTGTTTAATGTCATTCAACAAAAAAGTGAAAAAAAATGGCATCACAGGACTTGCACAAGGAAAGTTTTACTCCTATCCTCAAATATCACTGCATCTGGACATGCAAGAAAATACAAGAACAAAACAAACAAAGCAATTCATTCCCCCCATACAAGCTCTAGTGATAGTTAGTCAACAGGTGATAGAACAGAAGAGTATTTTGAAAATAAGCTTAACATATCTTTACCCATCCAAAGGAAAAAAAGTCTTACTAATTCATCTTTTTTTCTGAATCCTGTAAAGCACAGTACCAAGTTCAACATACTTGCACAGTACAGTGGACGACAGGAGAAAGGTAAAGGCTGAAAGTAAGAAGCAAGCTTATTAGTCAAAAGCATACTGCTTCCATGAAAGTTTTAACATTATGTTTCATACAGTACTATTGTTCCTAGTATTAAAATGCATCAGGCACAAGTTCAAGTCTGTGTATTCAGTTATACCTCAGCTCCAGACCTGCCAACAATCTGATAAAGTACCTCAAGCATCCCCAAGGTAGCACTCCATTCTTTTATTCCTCCCCAGTCCATCTCCTCTATGTGACAACCTTTGGAAATACAAAGTGCCTGCCAGAGCTGCATTTACAAGCTACTCTTCCTACTGGCACAATCCCACCTAGTGGGTCAACAACTCCCACCACTACTGGAGTACTTGTAACCTTGCTATTGTATACTTGTGCTTTTTCCAATACATGCAATATTCTAACATAGTACTAGAAACTTGCTTTTCTTCTAATTCAAAGCTAATGATATTTAAGGATCAATTGACAAAGCAAAATAGATTTTATTTTGAACACTTAGTATTTAGAACTCTGCACCAGAGAACTATTCAGGTGGTTTCAACAGAAAGCACATACCTCTCCTTTTTGTGCACAGTGCAGCACTACTGGAGGTCCAATGACACGGCAGTCTGCTTTGCAGAGGTTGTTAAAGATACAATCTTGGAAGTCTGACACAACAAAGATAGTTTCAAATTCTGGGGAATCTGAATCTCCAAGCTCTTCTATGGTGTCTGTCTTTATGTAGGGCACTTTAATTTCCTTGATTAAAAGGGATGAGAGGGAAAGTATTAGTCAGGCAACATAGTTACACTAGCATCAAAATTCAAGTAATTTTTATTTTGGACGATTAGAAAAATGTATGATTCAGATTTAGACACAGATAATTTGGGGAAGGGTTGGTGGAAACTGAATGAGATGCCCTGTTCTCTAACATAAGAACAGCTATGAACTGCACCTAAAAATATCTTAAAAGCAATTCTTGCTTGCTTCTGAAAAATAAGAATACTAGTAACTTTAGTAGCTTATGTATCAGTTTGCATTGATAGTATAATATTGGAAATATTTATAGATAGGAAAAAAGCACAAAAGAAATTAAATTTCAAACTGTCAAAACAGCTTAAGGCACTTCCAGATGCTACTAATAAGTAGCATCCAGTTTGCAACTGCAAACTCCATGCTGCATAACATCTAAAGAACAGATATCAATTTTGTTCACTGCTTGATATTTTTAAGGGGTCTAAACATTTATCTGTTCCAATTTCTATCTTCACTTCCAAATTTTAATTCCTAGGTTTTTCACATCAACAAATAAGAGGACCACTTCTTAAGATTAAATGCAGCTTTCAATCAAAAGAAGTAAATTAACCAATTATGAAGTCAGTTCATAGCAGAAACTTATGGACTGAGAGAATATAAGCATGCAGTTTAATGTGTCCATTGGTATTTTTATCCCCGGTAGAAAAGACCACTAATTAAGAGCTGCAGGTACCATTTCCATATTTGAGAGTGTAAGAAGTGCCAATTTTGAAAAGGTTTAAGTGACAGAATCAGAAACATTAGCATATATTGTGACCATCGTGTCCAATTAATAGAAATTAAAGCATGTGCACATTTCAGTCCCAGTGAAGTAAACATGCTGCATGCAATCACATGTGCTCAATTGCATGACATACCATATGAATAATACTTTTTATTAATTTTTCTTCTGATTTACCAGGACTAGTTTCCTTTATCTTTATAACTGGTACTTCCATTATCTTAACGGTCTGTGGAAGAGGAGAACTTTAGTACATAACCAAATTGGTTACTGGGAGTCTGAAAGCACACCATGGCATTCCAATGGCAATGGATGTTTTATCTTACTCCCACATACCTCCAAGGCTTTCAGAAGCTTCTCATTCTTGCCTGCTTCCTGAACCAAAACCACTCTTGTTTCAATTTGGGGCATTTCTGCTGTTTATAGAGAAACAAGAATAATATCTTTATTTTAATTGCAAAATCCACATTAGGTCTAAACCAAGCAATGATGTGTAGAACACAGGCAGCCTGCATCCTTTCAAGGGATCTTACTAGGAACAAGCCTGAAAATAAAGGTTACCTCAAGAAGCCTATCCTTTAATGAAGACATACTCAACTAGCCACAGAGCCTGAACTTCCTAGTAGATGGTAAAACAAGATCCGGCAGTTCATGACCACCTACCTCATATTCAAAGTGAGAAATGCAAGGATGGAACTAAAAAACCCCCACTAAAACCCAACAAATGAGTTACTTAATGTTTCTAGCAGAATTAGATACTAAGAATTGCAGGAAGAGAGAGCTGATGTCTTTCTAGTTTCTGTTCCTGGCTGACAAGGCTCATTACTTCCCAGTAGCTGCTCAATTTCACCCAGGAATATCTGAAGTTACATATCTTGTTCTCTTTCTCCATGGATTAGGAGCAAGGGACAAGTGTTGCCTCCACATCATTTCCACCAAAAGACTGCCAGTGGATTCTGGTTACTGCATTGCAGGAAAACAAAAAAATACCTTTTAGTAGTTTTTTAATGTCAAGATTTATTATTTAGTTAATTTTGAGCTCAAGACTATTCATCTCTCTAAGGACTACCAGCAATCCTGAAGAATACAGCAGCTGTAGTTTCCAAAAACTGGTGTCAAAATATCACCTGAAATGATTTATTCCACATTCCATCAAATGGAACCAACAGCTTTCTACACAGCAATCAGAAAACTTCATTGATTTAATTACTGTAGACCAAATTTTTAACTCATCTTGTTAAAAAAATGTAAGACAGTCCCTTTGTTGGGGAAAGGATACCAAGCCAACACTCTTTTGGCTACCCTACACACAATTCTGTGGTTCAGCCATTACAAAAACATAGTAGTCTTAAAATAAACTTCTTCCTTTACCTTCAGCATCCAAACCAGATCCAGGAAACACATTCTCTTTGGAGGTTTCTACGATTTTTGAATCAAGAACAGAAGAATCAGCCAAGAGGCTCCTCCCAGTTTCAGATGCCAGTGTACTGTTGTCAGCCATGGTTACGTCTTGTTTCTCCCTTCAATAGCTAGAAGATAGATGTGCTAAACTAAGTTGCAGTTAAAAAAAAACTCATTAACAAGATTTCTGGGACTAAGGCAGCCAGAAATAATTTCAGACTTCTGAAAAAAACCCACATTCAAAGTCCTGTTAAAATCCCACTCTCACTGATAGAGCAGTTCTGAAAGGGTAAGGAGGAAAAAGAGGACTGAAGACAAACCTGTGATAGAAATAGTTCTGCTCACACCAGAATTGACTTGCACAGAAAGCTCCAGAGGGTACTTCAACTCTAAGCAGTAGCTCCAGTGTTCATTTTTAAAAGTGTCACTACAAATCACTGACAAACTAAAAGCACTTGTTTGCTTCAGTGAAAAATGGTAAGCTAGATTTGAGGCCCAGATTAGCATTTTTTAAGTGAAAGACACACAAAGCATCTCGCTAAAATTTGATTTTTCAGGCGAACTGGCTGGAGTTACTGTGGTTACATCAAAATGACCACCCAGGAGTAGAACCAGCAGCATTTACTCAAAGAAAAATTAGGTTTCTCAAAATGCATTACTAGAAAGCTAGTAAGCATATGTATATACATGCATATCTGTATGGTCTAGTCAACTGACCTACATGAACCACAAAACAGTAGAAGTACCCATTGATCATCAGATAAAGAGGCCTTGTCTTCTCACACACAGAATATATCTGTGCCCTCAGTGCCCATCAAACAAACTCATCCCACACTGAAAAGGCAGAACTCTTTTTCCTCTCACAATCTGTACTGGTAGCTACCTGAACCTTGCACCAGAAAATCCTTTCCACGACACCTGCCCAACATGTAGCACATTTTCTTCTGTTTGTGAAGCAAGAAGCTTGCATTCCTGTTATTCATCATTCAGGCAAATTTAATTGTTTGCAAAGTGATATCAGAAGTTATTTAGATCAGCCCCTGTATCTGAACTGCTGAAGTGTAAGAATCCTCTGGAGCACTAACTGAAGCCATTCTCCTCATGACTCTAAATGCCCCTTTTAAAACAGTTGCTACCCAAAGAATATATTGAAGTATTGTCTGAAAGAGGACTCATGAGGCAGTAAAATCCTTAAAAAACAGCACGCTACATATCTACTCTAATTCCAGGCATATTCAGTTATCAAAATTGCCACCTTAGTTGCAATTTTGATGTCATACACAAAGCAGTGCAAACTCCATAGAATTAAGTGTCCTAGCAGTAAGTCCTAGTCACCCAGCTAATTTAGCTCAGAACAGCTTGACACCTAAGGAGAAACTAACTTTAACCAGAAAGTCTTCAGGGATCACCTGTCCAGAAGGTTATAAGGATACTCAAGGAACTGTTACACAATTACCTCTTATTTGGTAGTGAGGGTGGAGGGAAACAATTATTAATAATGGATTACTACACAGTTACATGTAAAATCAGACCCAAAAAAAACCCCAAAACCCTCAAGTTAAGAGTACCATTAAATTTAAATACTACAGATTATTTTTTAAGTCTGAGATGTCAATGACCCCTGTTGTGCTGCTTTTGATTTACCTAATGACATAATCACACACTTAGAAAAAAACTTCATAGTAGATTTGGAAAAAGCCCCTGCTTTGGGCCAGGAATTGATTTTATTTATGACTTTTCCAATTTATTTATTTATGGCTTTCCATCCTGGGTGAATTTTTAAAAATACTTGCTGTTTTAATGGTCACATATTAATTAAAAACATATTACTAGTCACTAGGCTTAGACATTGAAAGTGTTAAGATACAGAACAGAGAACACACTAAAGACATGAACATAACATTTTCCCTCACAGAAAGCAAAGCACCATCGCTAAAGAATCCAGACCTGAATTAGAGCATTACACTTCCAAACTACTTCCCAACAGTTTGTGGAAAGCCTGGAGGTCACAAAATATCCAGACTCTATAATAGGTTTGCAAAGCAAGGTAACATGTTAAAAGACTTCCCCTGTTGCCCGTTTCCCTCCCGAGGCCCCACCCAGGAGCCTGACCAAGCAGGAGGGCGGCCGGAGGCAAGAGATGCCATCAGCTACTCTCGCCTCACCGCCCGGCAGGTGCCGGTGGGCCCAAGGCCCCCGCGCCGCGCAGAGACCCCCAGCAGCCTGAGGGGGGCCCGCACCGGCGATGAACAGCGGCGCTGCCGCGGGAGGCCCACGGGCGCCCTAAACGTAACTGCGACCCATCTCAGGCGGCCCCGCCCGAGCCCGCGGGCACCCCTGGCGCTCCTGCTCCCCCAGCTCGGCCTGCCGCCGCCACCTGCCGCCCCCCAGCTCGGCCT